ATTTCCACATTTCACGGAGAACCAAATGACCGTCTATTTATCTAAAGACTTCTGTGAATATCTTGTGAAAAAACAATCTATGGCCCTGGTAGAGGGTAGATTAACCCTTGCCTTGTGATGTTTGGGACGTCTCTTATAATAATACTGCATGAGTTTCTTCTCGGTTGGTTCTGCATTGGAAGGTTTATCTCTCTTAGTGCACGTTTTCCCCAGTTCTCTTTTTAAAGAACAAAGCACCACTTACATGTAGTAACAAAAAGGTATATCTCCTAAGAGCGCTTCTGTATTTATTGAGACTCCGATTGATTCCTCTTTTTGTCCTTACCTAAATTTTCCTCGGTTACTATGCAGATGTCCAGAGATTTGGCGGCCATTCTGTAATTAAATTGGACGTCGTTTGATTAGTTACAAAGGGTCAGTATTAACCCTTTTTTAAGCTTGAAAAGTTNGGGCGGTTCTTTTGAACCCCCCGACCCCCCCACCCCCCACCCCCGGCTACGGGCCTGTACACGTATTTTGATGCAGGACAAATGTCTTGTATGTGACCAGAAGTAAAATAAGCAATTAACACATCATTGGATAATATTCAACATTCAAAAGAACGATATTTGGTCCGTAGTGAAATATTGCCAAGTTCAAAATTAGAATAATGCAAAAGTGTACCTGACATATCTGAATATCTTCCGGTGGACTGCTACAATCCAAACTAAATTCACTATAGAGAAGGCAAAGAAGAACGAGAGTAATTTCATCTTTGTCTTATATTCTGTCTACACTTCGATATTCCTGTTTCCTAGCACGAGTAACTGCAAGGTTATCACAATGCCTGCTCAGTGCATGAAGGTATATGTAAATGCATGGTGTTGATTCAGTGGCCAGTGTGCTGTAGACGGAGGGATGTGAAAGTCGGTTATCTACAGACATTGTATGGGAAGCATAATTTTGGGAGCATAATAGCAGGGTTTTATATGCAGCACTAGTAAATAATCAGATCAACGCAATTACTATGATTGATATCTAGTCTAGCATATCTTGTAAAGCGCAATTCATTATTCATGCGTACTTTTCAATTTGCTGACCAGTTTTACATGTACCGTGTACTTATCTGGTCTTAAAAGTACACATATAAGCGAATTTATGATAATTACGTATAATTTCTTATATGGGGTAGCACTGTCCGATACTGAGACACTTTAAAATTTCTCTTAAACCCCAATCAGATAGACACATCGTACTAGTCGGTTCGGCCCAATTCTACTGAGGATTCTCGCTAAGTGCAGTCAGTGGAATAAGCTTAATTGTCTGACACGCATCCTCGAGCAGCTATGGGGCAATGAACCCAGCTGCAATTAGCCCCAACTGCTCGAGGAGGAGTGTCATTCAGTTAAAGAGATAATGGCTCTTCGTATGAGATCTATATTTCAAGGTAAAAAAAAAAACATTAGAAACAACTCATAGAAATATGATATATTCTGTTGTACCACAAAAACAGCAGTTTAAGCTATTTTTCTAATATCTGAACTTGTCATCGGACCACGTGACCTCAATAGATGGCTATTAACCTTTTTCATCTTTTCCGGAAATGGAAATTGCATTGTGGGTAGGGGAGCCCTGCTATGTCGAAACACTTACAGCGGTGCTAAAAACCATGGCTGAGTTTACGTGCTTTTTGTCCCGCTGCTACAATAACAGTAAGCGAGATTGACACATGAGGTATAATAAGTTCCCAACAAACCCGTTAGAATGAAAAATATGGTAGAAAGAAAGAAAAATATAGCAGGTTTGGATCAAAAGCAGGGCACCGCGTTTGCGCTGAACATTTCGAAGGCGAGAAGGCGGGAAGAAAAACTATAATATTAGGAGATCAACGGTGCTTTAATAAAAACAGAAATGCTTAGTTAATCAACGGATATAACGAACTAGAACTCGGGGGTAAACACTGCGATAAAAACAAAGTTCTGAAGAAAAAACTGAAGAATAGGGGCATAAAAAGAAAGAAAAGACTTTAAGTATGAGATTATGGAAAAAGAAAGTAAAAGCTGTGAGGTTTTACACGGGGATTCTACTTACAAAAATTCAAGAACTTTCACGACTTTTTGTGTAACAACAAAGAGAAGGTTTGAAAAGTTTTGTATGTAATATCCTTTTTGTGTGTGTTTTATTGATAAGTGATCATTTTAAATGTAGAAGGCCTAACACAGGTTTTAGTCTCTCATAACCCTCAGTAGGGTGGGTTCTATTTTTTTTAACGTGAGACGTTAATAAAATTTTTATTATTATGTATCCAGTCCCGTACACCCTGTACGTATTACTGATTTGTACAAACGGGGCTCATATTATCAAGATCAACAGAGACATACGAAGAATAATGTACATCGGCCCTTGTTGAACGCGTTACCGGCAAAATAAAAAGTTATTTATTTCTGAACTCAATGACAAGAGAATTGGAAAATTCAATGGGCATATATTGTTAATGCAGAGAAGCCTTTCTGTAAGCTACACGTGCATAATACATGTATGGTAAAGACAAAATGGATAATAAAAATAATAAAACAATTAACGTACAGTATTTTTAAAGTAATGCAAATATGCTTAGTATAAAATTAGGCCTACGTATATTTAACTCTGTCTTAGATAGTTAAAAAGTATGAAATGTGTGGAAAACACTTTATTTGAATGATTTTATTGTCTTTGATTGAAAACGATGAAAATACGCATGAAAACATTTACAAATCAAATAATTTGGTCTATTTCTATAATTTTGTTTTTGCCTGACGGTTTTGTTTCAGTTTGAGAAAATTTTCATATTTGTCAGACCGAAAGTCTGACATTTTTTACCTGTCGTAAATTTTGTGCATATACTAGAGTAAGACACGGTAAACTTTAATTATCGTCTGGGAAAGATTCGGGAATTCCTGTCTCACCTGTTTAACACTTATAAATTAGAAGGTTTTAATTACAGAGGAAAGGTCGTAGTTGTGGCCGCCCCCCCAAACTGAACAATTGAATAAGTAACACCTGATATGCCTTATCAGGTACCAAACGATTTAATCAGTTCACCGACGAACAATCTGCGTGTCACTTTTAGGTACGAGTCAAACAATGCAGGGAATCTTTTTATTTTATCATTCCAAAAATCTCTTAAGACACCCTTTCAACAAGACATAAAAATCGCAATGAATTGATACTGCCGGTAAATGAGGTGATATCGCCACAGCTTGCATATATACATGTAATATTGTGAAGACGTAGGCCTACGCACCTGTCCACACTCTTGAAAGCTGTGTACGAGTCTACTGGCTGTTTTGATTTGATATATATAAAAAATAACGAGTCTCTTTCGCATATCTTTATTATCGGAGGCATTTAAAAGAACTCTGAAGCTTTAGTTCGTCATCACTATTGAAAGTGCAGCCAAGGCTCGGACGCTTAGGTGAAGTCTAGTTGTACAGCGCATCGTATTTAAACTGAGAAAAAACATTTAATTGATTGATCCTCCGTCCAAATAGCTGTTTTCTTGCCTACAGCTTACGCATTTCTGTGCTTCAGCCACCTTTTTAGTTTGACAGAAAGCAGTGCAAGCTGCAAACGACCTTTTTATATGCACACCTTGTACATCATCTACACCTAGCATTGCCATGCTGGAAACAGCAGAGAACCATCATGACCCCTGTGGCGCGCGGTTCCTGTCGTGCGCACTTCGTATTTCCGGAAAAGATGAAAAAGGTCTATACTCAGTAATAATCTCTTAAAAGAGATTATTACAAAAAAGCAAACATTTAAGAAAAAAAAAAAAGAAACTAACTTTCAATGAAGAAATGGGTTCATTAACCATTGGTTAGTATGGGAAAATTGTTGTTTTTGCCAAAACGAACAGTTATTATCCCTTACAGCGGACTGCTCTAATCGAGTGCCACCACAGAGTAGGATCGCATTTGGTACACTGTCTATCTGAATGCTCCCATAACAGAAGGTTAAAGGATCAAAGGATAATCGCTTTGAATTGTCCATGTTGTATCCGAGATGGCATTGACGTGCTTGATGTTTAGATATCTGAATTTTGATTTTTGTGTCACGCCGCAAAAGATTGGTGTTTTAATTTTTTAACTGTCTTACCATTAGACTAACTGTGCTACTGAAAGCGTCATGATACTGTAGATAATAATAATAATAATAATAATAATAATAATAATAATAATAGTAATTATTATTATTATTATTATTCATAGTCTAAAATCCATATAAATTTTAGTAGACCTTACATGGGTAAAATGAACAGAATAAGATAAATAAAGACAATAAATAAATGGGCAGTTAAGATATTAAGATATTAAAATGCAATGTAAATGAATATATGGACAGTAAAGAATTTCAGATATTAAAATAGATAGTATAATGTTAAGATGACAACTAGTAAAATTTATTTTGGATGGTTCACGGCATATATAGGAACATAAAAAATAAATAAATAAAAAAAGAGAACATATTTTTAAAGTCATGATACAACTAATTTTCAATAAAAAAGTATTGGTATAATTCCAGTGTACTTCAGCATAATGCCGACGACACATCTGACTTGTCTCTTACTGTCTTAACATTCATGTATACAGTATATCACAAGTGATATGTTTGTAATATTACAAATCACGTTCAACGATCTTTCCATTTTAGTGTACGATCCCAACTACCGCATTCGCTACCACCAGCTGTGCCGTCAAAGATCGCGACTAAAATAATGACCATTATGGAAATACTAGTTACCGACGCTAAGGAGGTAATATTTTCACTTCCGTTTCTCTCCCTGTAAGCTTTTTTTTTGTTTGTTTGTTTGTCACCATCTCAAAAGGTTATTGGTGGATATTATTGACATTTTCAGGAAAGGCAACAAATTGATTAACTTGGAAGTGATTAGCTTTTGGTGGTGATCAGTGATCGGTAATCTAGATATCTGTCTGGGTCCAAGTAGCTTTTAACCATTGCGAGATAGGGCCAATGACCTTCTTTGTGCTATGAATGCCTCTTCATCTTCCACATTTTTATCAGTGCAGAGTCCTTAGCGTCAGTCTGCGCTCTCTGTATGTTTTTGTAGTTGTGAAAAGAATCACCTCATTCTAATCTTATTTTAACGTCTTTTGATTGTTCATAAAATCAGTACTACACTCCTTACAGAGCATGCGTTAAAAATTGGATGTTTTTAGACGGGAAGATCAAAAACCCTTAATATACATCTTATGTCGTCGTGAGTTTGCACTCTTTGGGCGAACTTTCCTGTGCTGTTTTATTTTCTTCAGTGAGATACGTGCAGAGGCGCTTGCTTTCTTCTCCATTTCTTCTTTAATTCTGTAAAATGAAATTCAAGCCGAGCAATAGATTACGTCATACCTGGCATGCAACCTGAAAAATTCAGGCGCACTTAGGAGGAAATCTTAGAGTTCGTTATTTGCAATGGCTTATATAAAATATGTAAAATCTTATATGATCGATTATAATGCTTACTCATAAGCTTAAAAGTAGATAAATACCTCATTGGAGGTGACATAAAGATAATAAAACCTATGTTAGCCATCTAGACCATGTTACTGCATTATATTCTGTCTAATCAAAATGCTGCCAGGACATAAAATTACTGGTTTCAAAACATTAAATGTGATTGCATATTTTGTAATCCTCTAGACAGTCAGCACATATCAAAAGGCGTCTTGCGCTTTTTAAAGTCGACTTACTTAGGAAATATTTTGTAAGCCCGTTCGTAGTTAATTGCCCAATAGGTACCATGGATTGCTTTGTCATACTTGGTGTCCATAATGCCCCTCCATGCGGTCTGAAATTAAAAAGAAAACATCTTTAGAGGACAGGCTATAGGCCATAGAGACTTAGACCCCATTTCCAGAGATTAGATCGATCTACTTTAGATCGACCTAACTCCCTGGGGGTTCACGCTAAATAGCTGTCAGCCGAGCGGACACGAAAGTTAATTACCCCCTTACAGCGTGTAGTAGGCGGGACGGACATTTAAGTCGGATTATCTGAAAGTAATCTAGTGAGACTCCCCGCGGGGATAGATCGATCTAAAAGCTCTGGGAATACAGCCTATGACAGATCCATTTTTGGGAGGGGGTAGTCATGAAGCGAGCAAATAAAATGCATACAATAGAGGAGGAGAATTTTACTGTGATACAGACATGTACGTAGCAACTTGATCCTTATCTGTGGAGTTTTTTTCGACAATAGTTCTGCCATTTCGTACCTTCATCATGCTTTTCTGATCTACATTGTATTTGATCCACGTGTGTGTTTGCCTATACTCTGTTGCTAGTCGGGTGTAGTTCAGCGTGATCAGTCCACTATCCCACGGTCCGTAGTGTTTATACAGTTGCGATGCAAACACCACCATTGGATAACTATGGAATATTTGGAAGGATAATAATTTTACAACGAAGGGTATGCAGCATTGGACATTTTTTCTGACTGTATGGCCCTGGAGTTGCTAAAACATTGATTGTATAAACCCGACTAAAAATTCACAAAACTATTGGGCTTATGTCACAGGAAATCAAATAATTCATTAGTTTTTGTCATTTAAGTCATACGTATATTTAAAAAGATACTTAGCTACCCAAAAATATGATACTCCCCCAACCCCACTTACAAAATAATGATAACTCACCCCTCCTTGTTTTCGGAGCCAGGCAGTCTTGTATGATTTAATACTCTGTACATGCCTAAATGTTTGTTGGCATGCTGAATGGGAACGTTTTGAGAGACACTCCTAAAAAATATTGAAAAATAGTTAATAAGATATGGACTTACCTCTTACTTACCTCTCTAAGGCCTGCAACACATCATATTGACCGACACCAAAAACCACAATGCATTCTTTTAAAACATGATTAAATATCTTAATATTAATTCTTTGAAATATATGGAGAAATTTTGTCTTGTTTCTGACAGTTGTTGTTCAGAACTATTTTTTTCTTGTGCACTTATGAGTACCTGAACAACGTTGTCACGCTCTGAGCAGACGATAAACATGAAATGAAGCACGTAAATATTGAAGTAACTTGAAGAAATAAGCGGTGCAAAACAGGTAATGACGTTTTGACCTTACCACAAAGCCGTCTTCAGGTGAACTGATTTGGTTCTGTTATTTATTCAACCTACCTCTGAAAAAGGTCGTCGTCATCGCCACCCCATCTAATCAAATGATTAGGAAATCCGTTTATCTTCTTGAATGTGTCGGAAGTTACCCCAATAACACCTCCGGTGTAGTTGACATGGGGTAGCCTGAAAACACAGCATCTATTCCATGCATATGCTTGTATAATAATACATGTATGACGTTTACTTTATAAAGTGCATTATCGAAATATAGGCCTACTAAGTTATTTATTATATGTTGTTCAAATTTAAATGTCATTACATGTGCGTGTACTTTGGCCTGCTCCTCACTATTTGATCAAATCAAAGATTAAACCACAATAATAATAATAATAATAATAATAATAATAATAATAATAATAATAATAATAAATAAATAAAAAATAAATAAAAAATAAATAAATAAAAATAAATAAATAATAAAAACGAAGATACATAGACAGTAAAGCTGGCGAAAGCACAGATTGACATATTACTAATAAGGTTAATTACAACACCGTGCTATTTTCAATGTCATTATGGCAAATTTCAGTACTAATAATTAATGAATAAACATGTAAATAACGAAGTCGACATGTACTTCATGGCCATGAATGAGTTTAGTCAGAATATAGAGAAGAAGGCATTAAAACCTCAATTGAATACATCGTGTCCGCTAAAAAAGAATAGATCTGAATTTTTGCCATTTTGTTATTACACAAGATTTTACTACTATTTTATAAATGATAAAGTGTCATAATTGTCGTCATCATAGGTGCTGACACCTAAACAAATGGAAATACCGACATGGACAATTAAGGTAAAAATACAGTAATTCACAGAAATGTGAAACATTTTGGGGTAAAGAACAATGGGTCCCTTTTTCGAACTGAAAATATATTTTATAGCCATGCCAAAGGTCAGGATATTTTAAGAAACCGGGCCCGGAGGGGGGAGGGGCAGGGGGTTCTGAACCCCCATTTGATTTTTCGAAAACGATCACACTAATATTTCCCTCTTGAATTTAGAATTTTGACTAGCTGATTTATAGTTCTAAACCGTAACAAATGGCACCTTTCGCCCTCTAAAACACCAAAAAATTTTGGGGCCTTTCAGCGGGGAGGGGGGGGGGGCGGCTTCGTATCCGAGGACCCTCCTTCAAATAATCCTGGATCCGCCCTTAATCTGGACAGCGGCATACATCGAATGATGGGTATATGTCCAGGAATTGAGGGTCTTTTAAGATTTAATTATTACAACCTATACAGTCGGTGCCGTCAAACTGTTACAGTCAAAAAGATTACAATTGTAAATGATTCAAAATCAGATATTCAGACATAAAAGGGGGGGGGGACAAACAAACAAACAAAAAACAAAAAAAAACGGGGTAAATGATTTTTCATACAGACCTGTAATGAAACCTGTCCTCAGCAGAGGCAAAATGAAAAACTCTGTCAGGCGGACATCTATACAGTAGTGAATTGTTCATAGGGATTTTATCCACGTCTTGAAATATGTAGCAGGTGAAATTAAACAGGGCACTGGCCTCTACAAATCCTACATTTTTGGCATACCCCGTGTTAAAAGGTTCTGGATGCGCCTGCAGATATACAAAGCCAAGGATGAATTAAAAACAACATCTGCTATAAAAAAAATAATTATAGTAACTTTTTAAATAATAATAATTGATTATTTGTATTCAACAGCATTATTTTTATAAATGATCAATCATGATAAAACTATGAATAATAATAATAATAATAATAATAATAATAATAATAATAATAATTATTATTATTATTGTCATTATTATTAATTTAGAATATTTGAGTGTTGCTGTTCCGTAGAACACGAGCCAGAGAATAATGATGATGACGCGCTGCCGTGTGCCACCATGTTTCTTTACTGAGAGAGAGAGAGAGAGAGAGAGCTACGAAGCAATGCATGGACACTAAACAATGGACCTGTTCAACGACAAATATCTGGTATTGGCACTTCTGACTTTGTAGAAAAGGATGAAGATTTTGGAGCAGAATATCCAGGTGTTCTTGTCTGTCACGGTAAGGGATGATGATGGCCACGTGGTCCCTAGGTTTGCATGACGTAGGTGCCCATCGGCCTCCGGTGGCGACCTCTTTAAACAGCTCCGTTCTATTTGGCATTGGCAAAAGATTCAGATTAACTTTAAATGTATTTCCTAAAATTGAAAAAGAAGGCACTTGCATATCTTAAGTCAAAGGTGTATTTAATGGAACAAGTACAATTGCATTCGCTATTTTGCTCAATCCGTTTTGATGACACGTTGATTAGCATCTCCAATATGCTTCTGCGTGAGTATCTGCTACTACCAGGGCTGCAGATGAAATGTACTTGCACTTTTCTTTGGAAAATTTGGTCATGAATTAACCAAAGGCATCTTTGAATATCTATGTGAAAAATCAATCTGTGTCCCTGGTAATGGGTAAGTATCTGTCCAGTTGGTTTGACATTGAAAGGTTAATCTCATAGTGCTTATTTTTCATTTTTCAAGTACAATGAACCACGTATATATAGGTACCATATTGTAACGGCATTGCTGTTTTTAGGGACCCCGATTTATTCACGTTCCTTACCTAAATTTTCCTGGTTTTCATGGCATAAACCCAAAGAGTTAGCGACCAGATCTTCGTTCATCTTTCTGTAATTAATTTGGACCTCGTTTGATTAGTAAAGAGGGGTCAGTTAAAGAGTCTTGCTGTTGAGCCTGAAAAAATCTTTTTTAATCANATAATAATAATAATAATAATAATAATAATAATAATTATTATTATTATTGTCATTATTATTAATTTAGAATATTTGAGTGTTGCTGTTCCGTAGAACACGAGCCAGAGAATAATGATGATGACGCGCTGCCGTGTGCCACCATGTTTCTTTACTGAGAGAGAGAGAGAGAGAGAGAGCTACGAAGCAATGCATGGACACTAAACAATGGACCTGTTCAACGACAAATATCTGGTATTGGCACTTCTGACTTTGTAGAAAAGGATGAAGATTTTGGAGCAGAATATCCAGGTGTTCTTGTCTGTCACGGTAAGGGATGATGATGGCCACGTGGTCCCTAGGTTTGCATGACGTAGGTGCCCATCGGCCTCCGGTGGCGACCTCTTTAAACAGCTCCGTTCTATTTGGCATTGGCAAAAGATTCAGATTAACTTTAAATGTATTTCCTAAAATTGAAAAAGAAGGCACTTGCATATCTTAAGTCAAAGGTGTATTTAATGGAACAAGTACAATTGCATTCGCTATTTTGCTCAATCCGTTTTGATGACACGTTGATTAACCTTATGTGTTGTTTGGAGCATCTCCAATATGCTTCTGCGTGAGTATCTGCTACTACCAGGGCTGCAGATGAAATGTACTTGCACTTTTCTTTGGAAAATTTGGTCATGAATTAACCAAAGGCATCTTTGAATATCTATGTGAAAAATCAATCTGTGTCCCTGGTAATGGGTAAGTATCTGTCCAGTTGGTTTGACATTGAAAGGTTAATCTCATAGTGCTTATTTTTCATTTTTCAAGTACAATGAACCACGTATATATAGGTACCATATTGTAACGGCATTGCTGTTTTTAGGGACCCCGATTTATTCACGTTCCTTACCTAAATTTTCCTGGTTTTCATGGCATAAACCCAAAGAGTTAGCGACCAGATCTTCGTTCATCTTTCTGTAATTAATTTGGACCTCGTTTGATTAGTAAAGAGGGGTCAGTTAAAGAGTCTTGCTGTTGAGCCTGAAAAAATCTTTTTTAATCAAAAAAGAAAGAAAAGGCGGTGGTTTGCATTCTCCCTCTTATCCCACAGTTAAAAGAAGTCGACATGAATGGCGATAGAGCAAGGCCAGGGAGTTGCAAAACAATACGCGACAAAGTTATTTTAGTAAAGTCCCCTTTACACTGGACGGCGTCCTTTCTTCCTCCTATAGTACGGCCCTATTTGAGAGTTTAAAAATACTTTACGTGCCGAGAACTGGCCGATCACTGAGCATTCATTCTGCAACCAAAGTGATGCTTGTGCCTATTTTCTACGACCACAGCGCTGCCTGTTTCATGATCGTATAAAAGACGCAGAAGGGACACTGTCCAGTGTGAAGGGGTTTAACACACCTGAGTATGCCCGCTAGCTCCGCAAGGTGTTGCCTGTGGAGGAAGAGCATTTCAGAGGCTGGGTACATACTGTTAACACTTCCAAATATTTTCCCATAACTGAATTTTTACAATTCATTCACAAATTTAATTGTTATTACTGTAATGTTAAATAAGCAGATGGGCTGACCCAAGGAGTTGCAATTAAAGCCTTACTCTGTTCAAAGTCGAACTGAATGCGACTTAGTAGTATACCTTGACTCCGGATACCCGTCTTGTATGTCACCAAAAGTATGATTAATACTAAAACAACACTGAATTGATCAACGTTTTAAATAATGGCATTTAGTCCGCTCAAAAATATTCGAATGTCTTCAATTTAGAATCACGCACTCGTTTACACGACATACCTGCTAGTAGTCCAGTGAAAGGCTACAATCCAAAACAAATTCACAGCAGAGAAGGTAGCGAAGAAGAAAAGTAATTTCACGTTTGCCAGCATTCCCTCTTTTCTTTTTTCTTCCAGTTTACCAACATGTAGATTTGCTGCATACAGGTAGCTACCTCAATACACGCTTACTCCGAGTGGGAATAGACAATGGCGTGGAAGACTAAGATAAGCGAAAGTCGGCTATCTACCGGTACACACATGGTTTGGGAAGTATAAAAGGTAGAGCATAATAGCAGGGTTATGTATGCAGGACTGGCACCTTATCTCATTATTATGATATCTTTTTCCCGTGTTTAACATTATTATTATTAAAGGGATAATAACTCTTCGTATGAGATCTATATTTCACAATAAAAACATTGTGAATAACTCGTAGAAATATAATATATTCGGTTTTACCACAAAAACGGCAGTTATAGCTATTATTATGATATCTGAGCTTGTCTTTAGACCACGTGACCTCCATTGATGGCTATACTCTGTTAAAATCTCTTAAGAGATTTTAACAAAAAACCAAACATTTTAGAAAAAACCAGGGACCAACTATGAATGTAAAAATGGATTCATTAACCATTGGTAAGTTTGGGAAAATTGTTGTTTACTCCAGGAAAATTCATTTTTTGGCCGAAACGAAGAGTTATTATCACTTTAAGCATACATATATATTTTAATGTACCGTACTGTTGCCCTACATGTGTGAATGTTGCCGGTCGCGGACCAAGGTACAACAAAAATTCGTGTACCATAATCACTTTTATTATCCGTATTTCTTGTTATAATGACAGTCTGTATTTGTCTTTAGCGACCGTTGCCAGATGTGAACCCCCCCCCCCCCAATTACGTGTTTTGTAAGAATCTTTTCATTTAGTTTGCTTGTGTCTAAACACGGAGGAACAACTTGTCCGACAAGTCATGAAATGAAATGTCAGCAGACCTGCAAGATTTTCTGATACCGCAGGTTCTCTGAACTGCCAATTATCTTCATTATTATGATTATTATTATTTTTTGGGGGGAGGGGGGATACAATGCATGCAATAAATCCTGTGTAAACATAGACGAACGGAAATAAAATATTGAGTTTGGACCAGCACAGAATTGGGAAGACCTGCTGATATTTTGAAGTGCTGGTTCTCTGGATCTTTAGCATCTCAGAATTTTCTCCATGTCTGCCTGTCTTGAAATACATGTGGCTTTATATCAATCACTATATAGGTATGCTTAACATAATTGAATGCATTAAATCTGATAAGTGAAAACCCTCACCTGTAAATATTGCACAACAATTAGTATTTAAACCATCAGTCTTGATGCCATTTAGATAAAGCATATATGCATTGCAGTGTGTACATTGTAGATAATGAGTGATTTTTTTAATTAGGAACTGAAGATGTGAGGTTGTTTGTTATGCTTTTTTGTTCACGAAAAGTGGACGACATAGTCGGATGTCGAGTTATGCCGGAACGCTGTGAGTTACACATATTATAATCATCCGAAAATTAATACAACGGTGTTGTATATAGATGCATATAGATATATATTATTTTAGAAAAAATAATTTTTTGGGTGGAGGGGGTAACAATGTATAACATTTATACATCCTTCAATGCATTCAATATAAAACTATTTATTAATGAAAAAATCTACTAATATACTTCCAATGTGTTTCAGTATTATGTTATCAACACGTTTTTATCTGTCTCTTAACATCTTAATTAATATCAATACATGTTGAACGAGTGATGTATGCAATATATCACAGATCGCATTCATCTTCCCCGCCTTTTAAAGCACAATCACACCTACCGCATTCGCTCACCACCAGCTGTACTCGCTCTTCCTCACTAGAGCCACCTATAGGCTAGTGCTAGTACTAAGATAATGGCCCCGATATGGAAAAGATGGTTGTGAATAGTATCGCTCCATTTTAGTCTCATTTAAATGTATTCTGGTGGTTAGTTGTACTTTAAGACTCCGTCACAACTAGCGGAATGACGTGCATGTGAAAATTTGCGTATCGTATGTGGCATCGATTATGTTCACAACTCTGAGCATATGAAATCGCCCTTATTAAAATGGAATTAGAAGTAGCGTATGGAATTGTTTTAGAACATGCTCCCTCCAGGTGCGCACACCAACGTGTGCCTGAGTATACGCGTTCGTCCTGAGTACGTAATTCGTACGAACCCCTTGCCTAAGTCTGCGTATGGACATTTTTTTCTTATACGTTAGTGCTTTTTGCTAGATGTGTCGGTGCCATTACGCTTTACTTGCCTTACAAAGCACGCTTTAAGAATTGGAAACTAAAATATAAAAAATGCTTTTTTCAAATGAGACTCTGATACTATTAAAGTCAATGTGGCATCTTAAATATTCGTAGATGGTGAGTCCATAATTTGGGAGCATACACGGTCAAAAAAACGTCAATTTATGTAACAAATCTTTGGTAAAGAGATTAGAAAGTACCGTCAGTTCTAGGACTATTAGTAGAAGAAGAAATTTATCTTTTATATGAATGGCATAGGAATGGAAATTGCAATTATTTTTCGTGTTTCCCTTAAAAATGTCTCATTCTCTTTTAAGTATCGCCAATTAATATGATGACTGAATTTTGTTGCAAACATATTTTTAATAGGACAGCCAATACTATAACAATTTCTGTTTGATATAATAAAGTATCCCCCCAAGTTATACCATATTTATTGCTTTGATAACATGCGGTTTTAGAAATAGAACGGAAGTGGTTGTTTTTGCTAATAATTACGTGTTGTTTCTTTTCATTTCATAAACCCTTTTCTTACGGTGAAAAAGAAACTACTCATGGTTTAAAACCTACGCGTAACGTCCCCACAACGTAAGGGTACTCCATTACTTTCAGCAAAGGTGCAGAATTACAATGTGGTGGGTGAACGGGGCGGTTTCTTAAGCCCCCTTTACACTGGACGGCGTCGTTTCTGCTATATAAGACCTGCAGTATATAAGACCTATAGTAGCTTTTACCCTCAGATTTCCCTAGCCCGGTCCCTTTGAGAGTGAAAAATATAATATTTTCCGTGCTGACCACTGCGCAACCAAAGCGATGCTTGTGCGTCCTTTGAGCGTCCCATATCGAAGTTGTAGGGACCAAACTCTACCGCGTTTTTAGGGTCCTTGGCGATTCTTGAACTTCAGTGTGCGATCGTTGAGATCACCGTGCGTTGTTGGAGAGTCCAACGGCGACCTAGGCAGTTTCATGGTCGCACAAAGGACACAAAAAGGACGCCGTCCTGTGTTAAGTGCATGCGCTTTGTCCTAGAAATCTTTCAACGCGCAGTTAGCGGACGAAGTCTGGATCTGAAATTTTATTTTGAAAAAAAAAAATGACAAAATAAAAAGGAGGGATTGTATTTGCATATAATTCTTTGAATAGAAAAGTTTGAATCAACCACGCGTGAATACACTGCATTAAAAACTAATTCATCCGTTAATCTCCAGATATAAAAGAACGCCAATTTGACACAGACAAGTATTTTAATGTCTATGTACACGTCCCGGGTATTAAATCACCACAAAGACCACCACAAATGATATGACGTGTCCGTGACTCATGCGGTGCGATGGTCGTATTTTAATCGTTACACTGTGCTTGCAACACCACAGCCGACATAAATGTATGTTAATTTATGCGGGAAGGCACGAGGGGTCGTGACGGTAAAAAGAGATAACGAGTGTGACGTCACGGCCAGGATTCCATGTGGGGATTTCGCGTTTTCCTGGTGGGTTGTGGTAAAGGCAGTTCTGCGGCTTGCTGGGTTGCGCTTAACAGAAGTGGAAGACTCCTTGAGGAGGTAAGTCGGGGAAAATAATTACTCCTAGGAAATGTCATGATATCTTTATATGGTTTAGACAAATATATTAGATGGAATATGCAGAATCAGACAGTATTGTTTCATATATTTGGATTAGTCTGTGTCCCGATTGAGTTGTTGTGATATGGATACTGTCTTGAAATTAGGCTACTAGAAATATTTTGGAATCATAACAGATACAAATTATATTAGAGAGAGGTCAATAAAAACACTTAACCATTAGCGCATCTTTTCACACTGATTTGATACAGTTAAAATGTCGGTGCGTGTTTAATAAAATGTCGTAAGTCATTTTGGGCTAAAATTCACTTTAGTTGCGTTATCAATAATATAAGCATAGTAAGCCATTTGAGCAAATAGAGAGTGGCTTGATAAAAGTTTTTTCCAATCACTGGTGACAGCATTTAGGCATGTCATTATCATTTATTCCGGGGCAATCATTCTAATTCTTCTCTAAAAATTCAGCTCTTAGAGCAATAGATCGCAATGTGGACTTTACTTAGCCGGGTATTCTATTTTATATGTAGCTGTCTAAGCTCAGCCCAAGTGTTTAAGACGTTTTTGGAAATACCCCCCTTCCCAACCTCCCCCGTATGTGAGAGGTAGTGGAGATATGTAAGAATTAACTTATCTCATTGGGTTAACAGTTTTGTTGTTTCGGACCGTGTCCACCCCGTTTTTGAATACATCTTTATATTTCATATGATACCGCCTTAAAATAGCACCAACGGTTACACATAAGTGATCATGCGTAAACTCAACACGGTGGCCTCTCAACAGTTATTTTTCAATTATCTATATGAATTTCAGATTCAAAGGCAGATGGCGTCCACAGTATTAGCTGTTGTGGTTCTTGGACTGTGTCTGGTACAACCTGGAGAACCCTTTTTCGGTAACGGATGTAAGTAGGCCTACTGTAACAAATATTTAAACGAACAGGCAATGTCGTAACTACAAGCTGTCGAGGAGGCTTTTGAAGAGGGGGCGTTGCCCGTAACTTTTTATAAAATAAAACAACAATTGAAAAAACTGAACTGAATTAAGTTTTTAGCAAGACTATTTTTAAAAAAAGATTGGTAGACCTATATATTTATTTTTTAATTCTTTTTATATTTTATCATTTCAAAGTTTTAATTAGAATGCCCCAGATAATGCACTTATTGAGATATACATTCGACTAAAGAAAAGGAAACTAAAAAGGATGTCATTTTAAATTGTCGAATATGAATCCGTTAAAGCATAGAGCAAAAGAAATAATGGGTTTCCTATTTCCTATTTCTTGTCCAACAGTTTTCTGGCCGTCTGCCTGGCAAGTGCAGACCCGTCGTGGTCCGCTGTGTATGGAGTGTGACTCCACATGGCACCCCAGGTGCACAGAGACAGCCATTCCGGACCACGACCAAGATATCGGCACGACGAGAGCTACCAAATACTGCTATGTCATGAAGGAAATGAATCGTAAGTAGATCATTTATATTTTTTCTGTAAGTTCTTTAATCAAGGGGAGTATACGTAAACGTTTGGTTTCATGTTTTTGAAAAACTTTCTGTTCTGGGAATAAAAGATCATCGTACTTAAAAAATCAACTTTAAATGAATAACGACAGACATTAGGCCAATGTTGATATATTTATTTAATCAGTGGCAATTTCTCAACATAGGAATAATTGTTACCCTGTCAACAACCAAATATCCATTTTCATTAAACGCTTAACTTATTGATTGATATGGTAAAATTATTATCTCTGTAATGTAAGACATTCATAACTAAAAGAGATACTTATCTAAATGAGAAATCTGTTGACTTTTGGGATGATACTTTAATTATTTTTTAATTACTTTCTGTGGATTGCTCATCGTCGGTTCTTTCATGCCCTGGCGCGTGCCTAGATATAGCGTCTATAGATAATAATCTGATGCCGTCATCGTCGTTTAATGATAAATCTAATGCAAAGGCGACTGAGTCCACTGTTTAAGTCTTAATGAACTTAAGTCACGAAATAATTTTGACGCTGAATTGAAGACAACCAAGATTTAGGAGGGAATTAAACGGTACTGGCGTTCATTAACATAAGTGCTAGTACGTAAGTGTATTAGATGCATATCGGGAAGAAACATATAAAAGTAATCGTCCTCAATAAATAAGTGAACATAATGACAGCACTTTATCTCGACAGGTCACTATATTTTCGGAGAATCTCTGGACTGTTATTTGCGCTGAAATGAATTTTGCACCTCGTCATTGCAACAGCCATTTTGTCCTTATCAAGGCCATCTTGCATGTTCACGCTGTCTTGGTATTAATTCCATTAAAAGTTTGACAGACGCCATTTATTTTGCTACATTACTTTCAGCTACAATGCAGTATTTTCACTCATATATGGGGTGAATTCAAAACCGTTTCAGTGGTTTGATTTCCAAGCCGGGTGAATAACATTATCATTTTGCCCCTCCCCTTTTATACGAACGTAGACTGATATCAGTAACGTGATATTCAAATTATTGTTTTTCTTTTTATCAAGAGCT